GTAAACTCAGCCGAAATAGAGAGAGAACGACAACGAGGTATGCCCGCCGTGAGGAGTGACCACCATGTAACACGCTCCGAAACGACCACCACCCTGCACGGTGAGAACCCAATTCAAGGAGTAATGACTGACTTTCAAGACGTTTGATCCTCTAAAAATAAACGGAAAGAACGGAAAACAAGCGGAAGCTGCAACATGTCGCCGATACTGCGAGGCAATAAACGGGAGGAATGTTGTCAAGGCAAACGCTGAAAAGTAACGCTAACGCGCGAGAAGGAGCTGCAATTATCGTGTTCCTAATTGGAAGCGTGAACGGAGCTGGATGGACATGAAAGGTCGGAGGAGGCCACGGAGGCGTACACTCAATTTACATGTTGTAAGCAAACAGGCAATTTTCTCACAGGAACACTAGTTATCCCGGCTCTGATCTCCGAAATTAGAGGGCTCTCTCTTTTCAAGCTGACATCCAGTCATGGTACCACCCCAAGGTGGCCCGACCAGCCACCCACAAGTTTCACATCCTAGCCAGCTATTATCGGTAACCCTTGAATGCAACGCTACTTTCTAGGAAAAAATAAATAAAATGTTTGGACAGATGTAGGCCGAACAACAGCACGGGAGTATTATTTTATTACGGGGAGGGGTGAATGATAATGTTGATTAGGTGGTCTACTCATTAGCTTGCTAGCAACTTCCTGGTTCACAGATGATGACGAGAAGATTGTGGGGTAGCTTTATTTTTGATTCTGGAAAGTGGAATTGTTGCTTGTTAGCATGCTACTTCCTGGTTCATAGACGGTGACATAAACAGGGGCCGTGCCATGAGGGGGAATGTTTAGGTTTCTTGGTCTGCCGATTTGATAGCATGTTAAATTCAGGCTCACGGAAGGTGATGTCAGATGACAGGACTGTACCATTTTCTGGAACGATGGGGGGGAACGGCTGGTGTTGTTTCCTTGATAGTGACCAGGCTACTTCCTGGTTCGTGGGAAGAATGATCGAAGACAGGGCCATACCATCTTGTGGAGTGGGGGGTGGGTGGGTATGATTCTACAATTTTGCCGTTTTTTGTTCGTCTTGGTTCACAAAGAATAATATAAACCCAGATTGTGCTATTTTTTTGTTCTATTTGGGGTTCTAATTGTCTGGGTGTTGGACTTTCAGCAATTGAGTGCACTTGCTATCGTTCAATCGATCAAACAATTACGAAGAAAAATATAAACCCATGTTGTGCTATTTTTTTGTTCTATTTGGGGGCAACGGCAGTAAACTTAAGCTAATTGTCTGGGTGTTGGACTTCCAGCAATTGAGTGCATTTGCTATCGTTCAATCGATCAAACAATTACGAAGAAAACGTTTTGCCATCAATCCTCCCCATCTCCACAATGCCCAGCCACAGTCCATTAACTACTAATGCATCTGGGCTTTGTTTTTAATTCCAATCATCAATATGCATTCACTCTATTTTTCCGTGATGGGGAAAGCAAACACAAGGGAGAGCTAATTGCATCATTGTTGCTAATGGAGGATAGCGGCTTCTCCGGCATTTCGATGCTGGACGCTGGTGCTAATCGCAAAATGGAAATGTTGTTTTTGAACTTTGTTTCAAACTGCCTGAGTTCCTTGAACTTTTAAAGGCGTGCCGGTATTGATCAAGTTAAAGTTCCCTGGTTAGGGGGGACTTGACATTACCGCTGCAACTGCAGACCTGTAGCAAACTTCAGTTGTTGAGTGAGGAAATCAAGCTAAGTGGTGCACTTTGTCACCTCTCAACGTCGAATGTTTAATCAATTACAGTGGTGCCTTGAGATGCATGTATTTCAATTTTTATTTATTTTTTTACGTGGACACCTGCACAGTGTAAAGATCTCAGCTCCTCACAGAGGATAAAGAATACATGATCACTGTACTATTGAATGTATCAAGGTGCTACTGCACATTTTGTGTTTAAATATCAGCTGCTTCAAGGTTTACACACCGGATGCATTTCATTTTGTTAGCATCAGCGTTAAGCTTGCGGACGAAAGGCGAAGCTACTGCATGTGTGTTGTGTTTTTCTTTATTTTTTTTTTATCTGGACAGTAAACTTCAACTGGGACAGGCATTAAACCTTTTTTTTTGAAGAATTCTTTGCTAGCTACTAAAATGCTGCTTTTTGTGAAGTAACTCGAATTGAGCTCCCGCCGTAGTCAGTTATTAAGACCAAATATGAGGTCTGAACCATCTGTCCATTCATATTAAAACATTTAAAAAAATAATCGTCCCTTTATTGACCCTTAAAATCCACTAACAAGCTGACTGGAAAAAGCAGGTACAAACAAGAGGGAGGTATAGAGCAGAGCGTAAGGGGAGGGCGACGCTTGTTTTATCCACCCCGACCGCTGAAGGATTTTTATGAGCCGTCTGATTGTTTTGGCATTCGGACCGGACATGACGCCAACTAGGAACCTGTCGCTTCCATGTGAGGAAAATGGAGTCTGGCGTTCTGACCGTGGCATGGCAGACTTCTATCCTTTACGACACCTCGGCTCAAGTCTGCTAAACTAAAAAGTGTCACTGGACTCATTCAGTTGGACCATTTCTTTTTCTTAAGGATATCTTTCGGCAGGAAATGGGTGTTGTGTGTGAAAAAAAAGGCTTGTTTCGCTCTAAAAATCACACGTGCGTGAACAGGTCTACTTAGGCCAGGCAAAGCTCTTTTTCGCACGTTCATGCACCCTGTAACCTGATAACGCGATAAGCTGTCCACTGTAGTAACCGCTGTCCCCGAAAGGGTTAATGACTATGTCGATAGACGGATTGTCTATAAGTAGTTCCTTGCCGCCCCTTGTGTGTTAGAGTCGCAGTTGTTTGAAGGTTTACAATGACCGTAACTTCAGTGCTAATCACTGTTAGCCCATCTATGATGTTTCACATTACGTGTTAGCATTCAGCTAACGTATGGAATGCATCCCTGGCGATCAACCAGGGGGGTTCATTCTACGTTCTTATCTCAACAGGCCACTTATGTATGCCACAATTTTTTTTTTCGGAATTTATTTGACACCGTTCAATCTCCAGCGCACTAAAGAGCAGTCACAAGATGTCAACGATTAGCTCGTGGACAAGTCTGCAATGGGTTACTACACTGAATAGATGGAGACAATTTTTTTTTAAGGTATCGTCCAGCCGTACCTTTGGCTAGCGGACAAAAGTTTATCGTGAATCTTTACACACAACGATAGAAAAAAACCTTTGAGTGACAGGCTGATGAAAACTACTTCCAGATCGCCAATGACGGACTATATGCGACGCACTAGTTCTTGCGCCCCGTCTAAGCGTTAGTCAATGCAGCTTTGAGTCGTTCTTTGCTAAACCGGCACTCGTGTCTACTTGTACGACTTTTGGGTAAGGCGACTGGAAAGTGCAACGTTTAAAAAAAAAAGGCTCCTTGAAAATGTATCGTGTTCGAAAACTCTGAATGTTTGACATTTGCTGACCGGTTAGCGATCCCCGGGGTAACTCGCGGAGATGTTTTGGAAGGACGGAATTGCGCAGTTGATCCTGTTTTATTGGTTTCATCCGGAACCGTTTTGAGCAGGGAATAGTAGTCAGATCGATTTCATATTCCCACGGACTGAAAGGACTCATCCCGACGACTGCCGTGTCTCCGCCATACCCGAGAACCAAAATGACCATTTTACCGCCATACTCTCCCTTTTTTAACAAAAGACAGACGCTTGTACCACCAACGCCGAGGTCAACGAGTCAAACGCCCCATCCGTCTTCGCGCCGAAGGTCTGCTACCTTTCTCCCACTGCACGTTGAGTGACATCCTCCAACGCCGACCTCCCCTCGTTGGACGGAACAAAAAAGCCTCTGTTCCACCTTCCTTGCCCTCCCCGGAGAAACCAAAGCTGCTATTCTCTGACGCTTACACACACACACCCCCACATTCACATTCGCCGACCCTCGCCTTCATCTCGGGACGCTTGCGGCCAAAAGTAACACGAGCCGGCAGAAGGTAAATAAATCACCTTATCACTGGATGCGCTTTAAAAAAAAATGCTGGGGGCCTGTCCGTCATCCGTACTGTATGTTTAGTGCTCCTATTATATAAGATTTTAATTTTTAGATAGTTTAATTGATTGAAGTTGCAGGTACAGAGCAGAGGACAATAGTGGAAAAGTGACACCCGCTGATATAAAAGTGATAGATGTGTCAGCGCACACCTGTTTGAAAATTAATATCTCACACTGCAGAAAGCAGTGGTGTCCAAAGTTGGTCCTCGAGGGCCACCGTCCTGCCCCGTTTTCCAGCTCGCCCAGGAGCAACACACCTGATTGAAATAATCGGGATTATTCAAATGCTGCTTTCCGAGATGGCTAATGAATCAGGTGTGTTGCAGCCGGGAGAGCCGGAAAACAGGCAGGACAGTGGCCCCTCCTGGAACGGAGCTGGACTGTGAAAGTTGTACACACCAATAAGTATAAAAGTGAAAGTTGTAGACATCCAATCATGAGATTTGCACACACCGGACTATGCGAATACTGACGTTGTATGACTACAATGGCATAAAAGTGGTGGACGTAGACGCAATACGGCGTTAAAGTGATTGTTGTGGTTTTAGACGAGCGCAATCGTTACATTTGTACACACGTGACAATAAGTCAGTGTAAAATGGATATGAAATGAAACTTAAAGTGAAAGTTGTAGTCAAAATTATCAACACGCGATAACTGCACGTGCACGATAGTTTTGTTTTTCTATTTGTTTTTTTTTTTTTGCGCACGCGTCACCGTGCGAAAGGGAAAGTTGCTTATGACAGTCCGTGACAGTGTGTCAAATTTGAAACCACGGAATAGCGTCAAAGTTGCCGACGTGAACCGGAGATGTGAGTGAAGTTTACGCACACAGCAGACATTTGAGCTGTCAGCCATAACGCACGGAGGAAGGCAGAAGAGACCCCTAAAAAAAAAAACACCAAGAACAAGATGGTTGGGGGGGGTGTCCCCCCTTACCGAGATATTGTCGAATGTCCAGCAGTACTCTGGGGGGTCCTCCGTTGAGCTGGTAGAAGAGGGACGACAGGCAGAAGACGAAGAGCGCCGCCATGCAGAATCCATACGCTCGGAGGGGCAGGCGCCAAGGAATGGAGGCGAGCGAGGAAGACTTGTGGTGGTTGCGGTGGTCCCTGAAGTGGGCGAATTGGGGGCTCTGGCTGTTGCTGTGAGGCGGACTGCCGCTGTAATTCTTCATCATCTGCTCCTCACGAGGCGCCGTGCAAAGTCACCCATTGGAGAACCATCGGAAAGTCCTACTTTGAAGGAGGAGAGGAGGAGGGGGGAAAAAAAAAATTCCCCCCCGACCGTCACCGGCTCCTCTGCTGCGCTCCAGGCCGCTCGAGGTGGCTCCTCGCTCGGCTTGCCTCGCTGTGCACGATCCGGCTCGCCTGTCGCGGCTCTTTGCAGGCTGCTTCAGGAGTCCATCCTTCTTCTTCTAGGCCAGCTCTCAGTCTTTTTTTCCCTTTTTTTTTGGAAGGGTGTCAGATTACTGGACGTGGAAAGAGAGGAGGAGGGAGGACCGTACAGTCAAAAATTTCCAATTTTCATTATTTGCACTTCTGGCTGGTAAACAGCGCCATCTAGTGGTTCACCTAACATTAAATGCAGTCGGACATCAACAGAAGCGCGGATTCACATATTCGCATTTTTTTTTGCCTTTTCTTTTTTTTGGGGGGGGGGGGGCAGGGAGCTTATCGGCCTTTTGGAGAAATTTTGGGGTTTAAAAATTCATTACCGATAGTCAGTAGGATGTCAACATATAGTAAAAAGCGGCATACATTTGACACCTATAATAATTGCATTTATAATGTTCCCCCAACATTTTTTAACTCGGAATATAATGCCATTAGGCATTTCCCGTGAAAATGGAGGGTTTCTCCGCCACGGCAGAAAAAAATACATATTTATATCTACATATATATATAAATTCGCAAATAGGTGACTATGAATGGCAAAACGCAAGTATGTGGAGCCCGCTTATCGTTTTGGGTAAGCAAAACACATTTCTTATTTTATTATTCAGAATTTTCAATGACATTTATAGTTGGAGATGCTTAAGGGGCGTGGCCTGGAGCGTCTGTGTATGTGTGTGTGAGTTGTGGCCTACAGGAGCTCCTTGCAAATGTTCTTATTTTGTATGTGTCCATCCCATTCAATAAATGTCTGGACATGTATCGCAACTGGGGCTCTTCTTTCCCCTCATATGAGGGTATCGCAATTTTCCAAAACATGACAGGGGATAAAAACAGTCTCGTGATAAGAATGGAAAAAAGAAAGACACTTACCTGGTCATCCAAGTCGTTCATCGGTTGCAGATCTTCAAATGTGTTTTTAATGGTGACTTTTAAATATATTTAAGCATTGACTTATGTGAAAAATATTTCAATTAAAAAAAATAAAATTATATTTACAAAAAACATCTGCACAAGAAATAAATGTACTATCGTGAAACAAAAAAATGTCTTGCCGTTAGTTATATTTTCTATTGACATATGTTCATCTGCAAAACAAAATAAAAACATTTTTACATTTCGAACCATATCAGAAGAGCAAGTTATGGCAAAAAAAAAATCATCGTAGTTGTGAAAGCCAAATAGTTCTGGGCATGATTTTTTTTTTTTTTTTTTTATTGTTTCAATACACAAGCAAATCTGTCTCTGCACAATCATGAAGTAGATGAAAAGCAGATAAAACAATCATTTGTACACATATGTTACAATACAAACTGTGTGCGGCTCCTCGCTTGCTAAAGCAATATGCGTTACGCAGGAAGGTATTGCTATTCGTATAGTACAGCTAATTACAGTTCATATTATATGGAAAGGAAAAAGAGACCGGTGGGGGAATAACTTATTTAAATATCAATTACATATATAGAATGTGCATTGCATTTCATATATGTAATCAAGACGGCGCAAAGTGGGAGCGATAAGGGAGGGGGAAAAAAATGTTTATTACTCTTTTAATTACACTTGCTGTTCATTAAGGAGCCACCAAAACCTTTCGCAAAAATGTCGCTAGATTAAGTCACCCTCTAAAGTGCATTTACAGTGTCAGTATCTTTATTTTTTTACTAATCATTTGTCTCGCCTTGAACACAGCACCACATTTGAAACATCCTCTTCATGAAGAGATTAAAAAAATTAAAAAAAAAAAAATGCGATTCACTCAGTTTTCCCTGATTTTTTTTTTGTAGCTTTCCACCTGATGTTTTGTTTTTGTAACTACGTAAATATATGTTTAAATTATACTGTCAAACATGTTTGATATACAGCGGAACCTCCAAAGTTCAAGACAATTCATTCTTCAAATCAGTCGATTTTATTTCATTTTTCATTATTCATATTAATCGCGAAACATGATGCTTACCCGACCCAACTTAACCTTTTTTTTGTCACTGAGGCAGGATCTTCTGCTTACATGTGGAAAAGCCAAAGAAAAAGCAAAATGTTTGCTAAATTGGTTGCCTGATTTAAAAACTTTTTTTTTGCGACGCAGTTGTGCACAAATCGATTTTAAACCATCAAACTATTGTGTTAATAGAGAACGAGAGAGAGAAACAATTCATTTTAAAAATTACTAATTATATTTACAAACTACGTATTTTTAAAAGTACAAATTACACAATGCAATGTGTGGTTTAATTACAAATATTTAAAAAAAAATGCATAGTATATATATTTTTTAAAAAGTATGTAAAAATGCTTGACCAAAATATTACAATTGTAATGTGACCAAAAATGTTGCTCGTCAGGGTGGGTCGACTTTAGAGGTTCCACTGTGTACAAAATAGCGCTTTCGTTCCAAACATCAGCTCTGTCTCTTTGGATGTTGTTACTAAGATATTAAAAAAAAAAAAAGTGTGTTTACTCAGTAAAAATCAAACAAATTAGCATTGGGAAATTGAAATAAACGGGTTGTATTCGTCACAAGGTCGGGGGGGTTGGGGGGAATAAGGCCATGCCCTGCATTTACCGTATCATCAAAACTATCCATTCATTAGGCTAAGAGAAAGGATATGGTAAAAAAAAAAAAATAAAAAAAAAAACGTGCTTGGATACGTCGGGAATGCTGATTGGTCATGTGACCTGACGGCAACTTTCAAAACGCAGGAACAAAAATGAAGCTATAATACAGAAACACAGTTTCATTAAAGTAAGCCACGTGTCACTTGTTGGTGTGCATGGAGTGCGTCGTGACGCACGAGTTCTTGGCCACGCGAGTACGAGAGTCACTTTCGGTGGAGTGAAATAAAACGACCCGCAAAAAAGCGTTTCCTGAAAATTGGCCCTTCGGAATTTCAGGATGAGCCTAAAATGCACGAGAGCTGAAAATTTTGAATTTTGGAAGAGGCAACAGTTCAGTGTATATGAAATCAGACCATCGAGTTGAATGTTTGGTGAGTGATGTACCCCCGGCCCCCCCAAAAAAAACTTTTCACAAGCCAAGCACTTGTGAAGCGTCCACAAAATGGTGTGCTATCTTACGCAAAGGCAGTCTTTTGTTGAACAAATGGGGGAGGGGTGGGGGCAGGTGTCTACACCTCACAGCAACTTTTGAGTGGCTTTTGTGAGGGTGTTTTTTTTGTTTTTTGTTTTTTAAAGGCATCCTTTCCAACAGCTAAAATCGATTTCAAATTCCCGGCGACATGAGAAAAACCTGCTGGAAAAGCGTCGTGGCAAACAGGAAGTACTCCAGTGCCGACCGTCAATATTTTGAAGTGGACCTGACCGCGGCGAGGCGGATTCAAGAAAAACGTCAGCGAGGCCACGCCGCTCAGCGAGTCCACGCCGGCCGACGCCAGGGCGGAGGCGTACATGGGCAGGCCGATGGACACCAGCCAGTCCGAGACGGTACTGACGGAGCCCGACGGTGCCGGTCTCCGGCACATCTCGGTCAGACCGCCCGAGGGGATCTGCAGACACAAAAATCCCGATCAGGCGATGCTTTTTGATGAACAGAGGTCAAAGAGCCTTTAAAGTGTCATTAGAGAATTGAGAGTGTTTTTCACTCTTTCAGTTTTCCAGATTTTTGTGTGACTCACGGTTAGCTAGCATGCTATGCCTGCAACGTGAAAATGCATAGTCTGCTGAGAGTACCGTACAGTCAAATAAGAGTGATGAGGGGAAATTACGTCATATTTAAAAAAAAAAAGAAAAAAAAGAAAAAAGTGACAGTCAATGCGAATGCAGCCTTCAGGTTGGTGTGGTCACTTTAGAACGCCTCGTTGTTGGCTGTGAGTGTGTGTATGTCATGCAGAGAAAGCGGAACAGCGAGGAAGGACAAGGAAAAAAATGTTTTACACCACCAAGAAAATTCTAATGTGACAGCGTGTGAACAAGGGCTTCTCGCTTGAGAAATTGTAGCTGTGCGTCCTTACGGCCATGCGGTGTTGTTTGCGCAGCTCTCGGACTCTAAGCTGGTCCATGGTGGAGGCCACCTCTTTGACGGGCTGCTGCAGGTCTTCCGAGTAGCGCTGCATCAGAGGCTGGGGGACGCCGCAGCGGCCGTGCTGGGGGTAAACAAAACATGACAGATGATTACGGAAGAAAATATTGTCTCATGCATCTTTTATTTACATTAACACAATCGGTATGTAAATGAAATGACTTCCTACAGGGACTCTGGTTTGGGTTGGCAAACATGGAGCAGGGGCGTGTTGAGAAAATGTTTTGAAAGGACTGGAAGGGAGGGAGAGCCAAAACACAAATAAATAATCACACTCTCCCGGACTAGTTGAAAGATTCCAGGAAATGGACATAATGACCTGAAAACGGGACTTTGAACTAAAACGACAAAATCTCCTTTTGGGTAGGGCTTGTAGACTTTTTTGGGGTTTTTTTTGGTCCATTTAGCTGATGATAGACGTACCTAGCAAAGGTCATGTTGCTGAGCGAAAATGGCTCTTGAGATTTGAGAGTTTCACGGTGAGTCATACAACTTTGTTACCTTGCACCACCCACAAAATATAACAAAAGGCTTTCAGTGGTTCCACTCGACATGCCTACCAAATTTTATTGTACTAAGTGAAACTGGCTTTCAGGGCTGGATTTTCTTGGAAGAACCCCCGAGAACTGTCTAAACAACACTCAAGTGGGCCCCCCCCTTTAATCCCAAATTTTCTTTTGAAGCGTATGTTTTTGAGACTTTTTTTGTGGTTCCATTTGCGATAGACGTGCCAACCAAATTTGACTGCTGCATTTTCACGGGAGGATCCCTCGAACTGTCCAAATTGACCCAAAAATGGCCGGTTCCCATTCAGTGACGGTATGAATGTGTGTGCTTATGGTTGTTCGTCTCTATATGTGCCCTGTGACGGACTGGCGACCAGTTCGGGGGGCGCGTGGTCTCGTTCGGGCTACCTTGTCTGAGTACGGCTCCTCCGTGAGATCGATGCCCTCGGCCTCCAGCCTTTGCTCCAGCAAGGTGAGCAGGTCAGGACTCATCTTGGAATGGGACGCCTTCCTCGTCACGGCCACTTTGCCGCCCAGGTCGGAGAGCCACGGGGGCGCCGCCGATGCGCCCGAGTCCTCCGCAGAGGAGTTGCGGGGGCTGCTAGGGGTGCTCGGGATCTTGGCGGGAAGGGGCGGGGCCGGACCGGTAGCGCAACGTGTCACGGGACTGCTCGGGTGGGAACGTGTGAGCGAGTGCGTCGGGGAAGGGGCGGGGGAGGGGGAGGAGGGCACGGAGGGCGGGGGGGGGCAGACCCCGTTGGCGAGTCTTTCTCTGGACTTCTTGGCGGGAACGGGAGGCGGTACGGGCGGTTTTTTGGCATGAGTCCGTGTGAGCCTCGCGCCGCTTGCGTTGGACTCGGGGGGACTCGGGGCTCGGGTTGTGGGACAAGGGGGCCTCAGAGGCAGTTGCGAGGGTACGGGTGGTCTGTCAAGTCTTGGTTTTGGACTCACCGGTGGACTTGCAATACAAGCTGGGGAACTCTCCTTAACGGGCCTGCTCGGGCCCAACCTGGGCTCGTCTTTCGTGAGTTTCACCTCCTCATTCTCGTCCTTCCTCTGCTCCCAGTGCAGGTCTCCCAGGGAGCGGGAGCGTTTCCAGGACCCGGACGGCTGGAAGGTTTCGTCCAGGTCCTCGCAGCTACGACTGGCTGGGATGGGGGAACGTCGATGGGCTTTGCGGCGCCCCAACAGGTTGAAGCCCTTCAGGGAGGGCTTGCCGAACAGGTTCTTGGGGAACTTGGAGCGCTGGTTCTTAGCGTTCTGCTGCAAAGCCTCACTGGAGACGGTCATAGGAAGAGTCGGATAGTCCGGAGATTGACCGGCGGAAGAGCGCCCCGAGCAGGAAGCCTTCTTGCTCTTCCCTGCAAAATCAAAACAGTCGCGCTTATTTTGAAGAACGCCAACTTTTTACTGTAATAAGAGAGGATAGGTTCAAAAGTCGCAAAATCGCAATGCATTCTTAACAACTGTGTCACAGTATAAAATAAGATTAGCTGAGCATTTTTTTTTCCCTTTGCGGAAATACGAGGTAATGGCATCAAGCATGGTAGAATGAAAAGCGGAAGCAACTTACCATCCCGTCCTCTGATTTACAAAGCATGATGGGTGAAACGGGTGAGAACGGCCACATTAAAGTTTCAATGGGGATGGACAGAGAGAAAATTTCGGCGGATGGAATGCGATGGAATGTCGCCACGGCACCCGAAAATGTCGGCAAAAGGTAATGAAATCTAAAATGACGACATTGAATCGAACGGTAATGCTTATTGATCCATCGTGAACAGAGACGGTGGCATTTCCACGCGCGCTGATTTATCAAATACGTCAATGTCGGTTCGATACTGCTTGTCACGGAGTTGAAATTTGAAAAACTGCTTACATTTCATGGCGAAAACATAAAAAGCATACATTTGTCTCGTTGATACACATTGACAACAACAAAAAAAAAAAAGTTGACTTAAAGTTGTACATGAGATTAAAGGCGCCATTTATGAGAATTAAGTTATGGGTAAAGAAATAAAAAAAAAAGCAGTCATAATGCAATGCTAAATGTAAATTGGTCAGGAACTTAACATGTGACACCTTATCTATTTGAAAAATCATTTCATGCACCCTGTAACCTGATAACATGATCAACTGGAGTTCATCCAAGAACGACACTTGGCAGGCAAAAGTTGCAGCGTGCAACCTGATTTTGTCCTGAGGAGAGAATTCAGGGATCGACAGTGTCATTACTGTTTGACAATCGTCAATATACGGCAGCTACTGCTTCTAAAAATCCTTCGCTATCGCTTTTATTTGATAACTCTTCAGATGGGGGGGGGGGAGACACTGTGGATCCCTGAACCGGGAAAAGAACATGCAGAAAATGCTAAATGTTGTCTAAACAAGCAGGAAGTTGATGAACGGTTGAAAGGCGTGAAAAGGAAAACAAGAGACGAAAGAAAAAGCAAGCAGCGCCATCTTTATTGGTTTTTTTTTTTTTTTTTTTTGGTGGGGCGGATCGGGAGTTTTTGTTTGCTTTGGTTCCTTTTTTAAAAATAATTCAGTCTCTATCGTAGCACATGATGACCGTGGCCAATTCCCAACCACCCCCACCACACACTTGCACGCACACACCCACACAAAGTTCGGCCCAGTATTTACACCGGAAAACCAGCAATCAGAAAGGAGGAGTGGTTTTTGACAGAGCAGTGATTTACGGGTTATGGATGTTAAAAATACGCGGGAGGAGGACGAGCACTCCCAAAAACGAAGATCCCAAGTGCCATCAAAGCTTAGCAGTGCAGCACATTTGTCTTTGTGAAAAACAGGCGCATTCCCGCCGCGTTTCGGCACACACGGTGCGAGTCGGTTGCTGTTGCGCAATGCGGTCTTCTTAGGAAAGAGCCAATCATGTCACTGCATCTTAATCACGTCGCCGTACTCTGCCGCGCTTAGCAGAAATATTCGTAATCATCCCCGTTGTACACCGTCATCAATGTGGAATCCACAGGCGGGGTTTGAGCTTGGAATCCTTCGATTGGCAGCGAGTTTGTTCTGGTGAGAACACTTGTCGTGTGCATTGGGGAGGCTCTCTCCCTTTGGCCGTGGGCTCCCAGCACTGTGGGGTAGACCAGGCTTAGTGGTCTGGGGCCGGGCTCCTTCCCAATTACATGCCGACTTCGGTACTGATGGCACAGAAGGCCTACAAGGACGGAAAGAGTGATGAAGAGAGGAGAGGGAAAAGTGTGTCATCAGGCGGGGTCTCCAGAGCAGGGGCTCCCAAACTGCGGCTCGGGGGGAATTAAATGGGGAGAATTTCTATTGGGTCGCTCAGTAAATTGAGATTGATTCATGTTTGTTATGAATTATTATAGAGGTGCAATCAATTGATTTAATGGAGCATGATCGTTTAATCATCCGGAGAAATAATGTCCCGTTTTTAATCATAGGGACGGAAATGAAACCTTTAAAAAAATATTTATCAACTCATCAACAAAATTATTATTATTCAAGAAATCGTGATGGAGCCCTCCAATTATATTATTTAAAAAAAAATACAATTTATGTACAAAAGCAAGAAAACTTGACATAACTTTTTGACATAATTTGATAAAAACAGAAAATAAGTCGCAATTTCCCGAGAAGACACTTTTACGATTAGAAACATTGTTTTTTTTTTTCAAGGGGGAAAGAATACGAAAAATTATTTTAAAAAAAGTCCAGAGGGGGGAAAAAAAATCTGAACTTCCACAAACAGTTATGGAAACATTCTAAAAAAATAGTAAGTGGACAGGAAAAGTCAGAATTTTTCAATTAAAAAAAAAATAATACACTGTCAAATAATGTGAAAAAGGTTTTGGCTTCCTGAGCAAAGACCTTTTGGTAAAAACAAAGGGCAAATTTTCTCAGGAAAAATACATTTAAAATACAAAAAAAAAAATTTTTTTTTTTTCAGCAGAAATGTCAACATTTCGACAAATACGAGCGAGGAAACTGGACTACCCGCAAAAAACCCACGCAAGCAGCGGGAGAGAACATGCAAACTCCACATAGGAAGGCAGGAATCATAAATTCGAACCCTCAACCTCACAACAAGTGAAGCGACTGTGTTCACCACTTTTCCAGCATGCGACTAAAAGTCATTGAAGGAAAAAAAAATACGGAATAACCCCTACATTTTATTTTCATGTCCAATATATGTTATTGGACTGGTGACCTACTTTTGTAAATGTGCTTTTTTGTTGTTGTTGTTGAGTCGAAACAGTTTGGGAAAGCCAGCTGTGGAGGGATCAAAGGTGGGAGGCGGCAGGATAGACCGAGTGGCTACAATAAGCGAGAAAAGCTGCTTGATGATCAGACAGCGCTCCAGAGGATTGTGATGGGTGGGGTTAGAAATGCAGAAGCGTGAAGAGATGCAGCGCGGACGTTGCCACCGCGAGACCAAATCCCAGTCAAGCCAACATTACCGTTCTCCAAGTTCTCGTTGCTCTCGTAGCAACCCGAGTCCCGAGGGGAGTCTCCGATCAGGCCCAGGCCCTCGGACAGCAACTTCTCCTGGGAGCTCGACAGGCCGCTGCGCTCTGGATCGCTGCTGCCTGGAGATGGGAGAAAAAAAAATATACAAATCAGAAACGCTTGAAGGTAGTTGCTGGAAATGTAAAAAGGCAAAGAACTGTGGGGTTTAACTTCATCATTTCAATTTTTCAGATTTTTTAGTTTTTTTTTGGGTGGCTAAAAGGCGATAGGTCACCAACTGTGGCCACTTTAGAGTGCCACGTTATTGGCCGTGAGTGCGCAGACGTCATGCAAACAAAGAAAGAAGAGCAAGTAGAGTCGATTTTTTTTATTCTCTTAAAAAGAAAAAAAAAAAAAGTCCGACTTGAAAGTCAGGGTGAGGCACACGGAGCTTGGGCAGGCTTTTCGAGTGCCTCGTTGTCATATGTGGTTGCACACGCGTCATCCAGAGAAGGCGGAAAGAGTGAAGGTGACAAAAAGAAAAATAGTGAAATGTGACTTTTAAATTTAGAGAGGACAGCAGCTTTACTTCAGAGTGCTGCAAGTTGTTGTGGCATGTAAACGCATTGCAAAAACTCAGCGCTCAGCACCCGGATGAAAGCAGATTTTACATGATGCGGAGATGATTCCGCAAACACCAAGCATTCAATTGAGCGTGACCCGATCTTAATCGTGAGACGATAACGTCATTCGCGATTCCTTACTGTCGTATTCCTGCAGCAGCTCCACGGCTGTGAGCAACACGGCTCGGTGTTGGGGGTCTTTGATATTCAGCTCGTCCAGGTCCTCCTCTTCCAGCAGCTTGAACGTGTCCAAGTCCTCGTAGCCGTTGAACAGGAAAGTGGGCATGTGCTCCTGGGTTGGAACATAAGAGACTTTACATGATATCTCCCTTTATGATTTTTCACCTTCTGGTAGTATTGACGCAAATAATCAAAATAATGCCGTACATGCGGTATGTTTCTTTTCCCACAGTAATGGGACAAGATACGATAACTATTTCAGATGTCCTGGGAAAAAAAAAAAAAAAAAGTAAAATATTTCATGGCCCAACATGAGTGTGACCTGCAAAGGATGTTAACACGAGGCTGGTTTGTAGGCCCGATTCACCTTTTCGGGCCCTCGGTGTCGGTTTGGACAGAAGGTGGAAGTGCGGTTGTGACCGAGTGGGTGTCAATGTTTACGCGATCGCTTAGCCTGTAATTTCCTGCGCTAAATTTAGCCCCGCTTGTCTGTAATTTCTTTCAATGTATCCGGAACAATGTTTGCGTTTATGATTTGTTCTCGCGAACCGTTTTGAGGACGCCGCGACGATGCCATGTCAAATATTGAGGCAGACTATTTGGTGAGGTTTGGCAAGCGGGTGCATTCCCCACCTTGAGGTTAATACGTTCCAACAGCTCCTCCACAGACGTCGGCTTGGGTGGTCGGCCCTTCCGCCGCCGCCGCAGTGGACGTTTGGGCTTCTCCTCTTCCTCGCACAGAACGTCCACGTAGATGAACTTGAAGGTGCCCACCTTGTTGTTGAGCAGGCCCATCCAGGTGCCCATGGGCGGCTTGCTGATAATGTCAATCACGTCGCCGCGCTGCAGGAAGAGAACGTCGTTGCAAAGTAATTTCGAACGTCCTTAAAAATTGCCATCGGCCAACAATGAAACCTAGAAAAGCATTGACTGGAGGGGGAGTTTCACCTTCAGTTTGAGGGAGTCCGAGTCGTAGGGGCTCGGCGTGAAATCCGTGTGCACTCGCGCGCGGCCGCAGAAAGGTCCTCGGTAGGGCGGCTCCTCGTCGTCGCCGTCCTCCGATTTGACGCTTTCTCTGTTGCTGGCTGAGGAGTCGGTGGTGCTCACCGTCTGCCCGCCTGGACACCAACGCGGGAATTCATTTCGCAAAAATGATTGTGCATTTATTAGGACAAAATGGTATGTAAATGTGACCGTGAAAAAAAAACAAAGATAAAAAAAAAAAACAGTCATGAAACTGTTTTAAGTACTTGTGACACATCCTCACACGTCCCCTTTTCCCTCCATAATCGCGACCGTATGTTTGTCATTGCGCCTGCATGTTCCAAACAGCATGACGCTGGCCGCACCGACCCAGACTTAAATCCAAGTTTGGAAAACTGCGAGTGTTTGATCACACACATGTGACAGGAAGGACAGGTTGAAGTGCTCCCGTGTTGTAAGTGGACAAAACGACATGAGAGGTCAGGCCGTTGTCCAAAAGCTACAAGCGCTCTGCGGTGGCTTGTTTGAGGCGCCCGCTATGATTGCCGCAAAATGGCAACAATGAATTAAGTGTGGAAGGTAACGATCAAAGCGCTAACTTGAAAGTAAACAACTTACTCATTGAGCTTTGTCCGCTCAGTGAACTTCGGAGACTTTCCACTGAGCCGCCTGCCTTGAGTTTGGGCTTCTCCAGAGAGTCGCTGTCAGGCTGAGGGGACTGCGGCGAACCAGGTGTTCCGTCCGGACTCGACTGGAAGGCAAAAGATATGCCGAGGCAGGGAGGAGAAGGGAAAAAGGCACATTCATTATGTGCTACAAACCATTTTTGATTGAAAATATGCAATTCGTCTTTCGACAGGCCTTGCAATTTTTTAAAATACTCCTATTGCAGGATTTCATAGGCACGTAAAAATGACATTTTTGTCTGTATTGTAAACAAATGACATCACTGCAATACGGCAGGACCCGATTGAAAACAGGTTTGCTTCGGTGATGCACTAGGGGGCACTGTAGGCCACAAAACAGAAACTGTTTGGCCATTGTGATCCCATTTCTTTCAATTTTTTTTTTGTTTTGTTTAACAGGCAACAGCTGTATGACGCAGGCCTGGAAATGTGGGTCATGGTGTTGTGATGACCACCGCCATGGACAGATGCTTTGGCCGCTGCGCGACGGGGCTTGGGGAGCGCAGGCCACCGCTGGAGCGGATGGCAACGGCGAGCGAACTTTTTCGCCCGACGAAGGAGCACTGGTGAGCATACTCGTTTCACTGGTTCCTTGAGAGCAACTCCCGAGGGAGACTTGCGTCACTCCAACGGGCTCAGCGCGAAGCACACACCCAACACAAAGCGGATCCCGTGGTGACAATCCCCGAATGTTTCCGAGCTCTGTTTATGCTGTAACCAACACAAATACTCCCAGCCGCCCACACACTCTGCGGGCTAATGATGTGGCCGACGCAGCATAACATCCTGAGAATTGTTAGGCTCTTTTCTTTGTATAGAAACTATACTTGATACTTTTTTTTTTTTTAAAGCTCATCTCCAAATGACGTGTCCGCGAAATGTCCGTCCAACCTGTTCGGAGAACGAGCTGCTGTACTTCTTGGACATGCGCTTCCTCATGGTCTCCTTGACCGACTTCACCTTCTTGCCAAGCGAGATCCGGGAAGTCGTGGGCGACTTGACCACCTCTCTATAGATAGCCTCTTGCTCTTTATTCTGCCAAATCAGGGATATAGAAATATTGAAGAAACCCAAATCAGCGTTTCCTTCACAATTTTGTCACGGGTGCACTTTACCTGAGCATCTGAGCCTGCGTTGAGCACATGGAGGGATCGGTTGGACAGGTCGAAGCCGCCGAAGCTGCACGTTCTCTGCGAAGAGGGGGGGGGGGGGGGGGGGGGGCACATAAGAAAAGCGCACTTTCAACCGGTTCCTCATTTGCGCCGGGCGATGAGATTTGAGGGCGGGACATGATGTCATATGAGACACGGCAAATGGAGGACGGTGATGGAACATGTGATGTGCTTTTTCTCTCCGAATCTCAAAGCCAATGAGCTGTTTTATGGAGGCTAAAAAAGCGTGAAATTCCGTTCCAACATGTGGCTCAAAGTGGAGTCTTCTCTTGATGTGGCCACATAAAACGCTCCAAGGATTCAAGGCGCATTTTGGGTGCCCTCGGCTGGTGGATGGAGCCTTCATTGCGTGACATGCACAAAGATCGGGGCTTGCGGATGCAAACAAACACACGCACACACAGAGTCAACTGTGTGTTAGCCTGAGCAGAAACATTCCGAGCTGTTTCTGATGAGGCGCCGGGGGAGGGCGGGGGGGCTTTCTCACTCTCAACATTAATGGAATAGAAACTATGAAATGACAGGATAACAGGGAGATTCACTCTTATCACTTATCTGTCTTTTTTTTTTTTAATGGAGTCTCCCAAAGCTGCGAGGACACACACGTGCACATCAAAGTTCAACTTCTAAAATTACCCTAGCTTAATCTGAGCATAAACTCCAGCATGAAGATCCCTCAAAAGCGATACGGGCTTCCTGCGCATTCAGCGTCCACAGCTGCGGGCCACATTGCAGCTTTTCCAGTGAAGGTTTTTCTTTCTTTTTCTTTTTCTTTTTTTTTTTTTGTAGAATAAATTCATTTGATGCGGCGTCCAAGAATAATGTGATGACGATGCTGGGTGAAATGGACATGCACCCAAGATTAAAAAAAAAAAAAAAAGAGGACTTCGGAGATAATTACAAGGAACAGAAAACATCCATCAAAAAATAAAGAGAGGCACGGGCCCCCCATTGAAAAAAAATAAATAAAATAAAAAAATAAATTAAAAAAGCTGCAACAGAAAAAAGTGGAGTCCAAAAAGTTGTCTGGATGAGAACGACCTCACTGGTACATGACAGGATTCAGGTAGCATCGAAGCTGCAGGATAGCCCCCCCCACTCCACTGAATGTAACCTGCACTGCGCACACTGTTAAGACCACTGAGTTGTTCAAAGTACACGAATAACAAGACATCGCTTCACTACTCAAGTGCAGCTTCAGCACAGTACATCTCTCAGACCAGTCTGTGTCGGAATTCGACACTTACACAGAAAACCTGTCCAACCGCTAACGTGATCCTTTCATTTTGAGTTAGCAAGCTATGAAGCCGAAAGACATTTTCCCCGCAGGCCAATCAAAGTGATTTGGCTCAAGGCTGTGAAAGCTACAGTGGAATCTCTAAAGTCAGACTTTTGACAAAATGGCAATGCCGTACATTGGGAATGTCTTTTTTTTTTTTTCTTATAATTGGATAAAAATGAAATATGTCCGATTCCGGTAAAATAAGATATTCGGTCTGCTTTCATGAAACACAACAGAATTCAGATATTTGCTTTTGGGAGGTTGAAATTCGAGTGGACATTATTCAGATAAACTACGGCTTTGAACGATTAATCTATGATCAAAATAGTTGTCAATTAATTTAATGAGCAACTTTTTTTTAATTCTAAGATTTGAATGATGGCGCTACATTTTTCCCCTCCTCATTTTTCACACAGCAAAAACTTGATTAATTGAGGAACCAAAAGTTAGTAATTGAAAATAGACGCCACAAGATGGCGCCAACCACTTTTCTATTGAACCTGACAATGGCCTGCCTGAAGAAGCTCCTCATCTTGTTTCAACATAGTTCTTTGGCACCAAAAGACGGTGTCAAAGCAATAGTATTATTCGACAGGACACCAATTCAATAAAGACATTAGTTTTTAGCAAATAATGGGGGATAGTTGACCCTCACACACCCCCCAAAAATTGTAAAAAGTATGCAGAGGAACATTGTACTGTAGTTCTCATGGGAAAAATGTTTCAAAAGAAGAAATTGTTTTTCACCTTAGGGGTTCCACTGTTTTCCATAATTATCCACATGCTTCCAAAACTAACACTGACTGTATTTTATGGAAACATTGCAGACTCTGGATCCTTCTCGTACCCGCTAGTTTAGGCTAAAAGCTATTCTGCAGCTTTGACGCACGCCGAGTCCCGCTTGAACGAGGCGGCCGACTTGAACCTCGCGGTCTGAACTCACAGACTTCTGCTGGATGCGTAAGAGCACGCGCTTGGTGCAGCGGTCCACGCTGGCCGCCCACTTCCTGTCCGCCTCGCGGTCCTCCTCCAACAGACAGCGCCGCTCAGCTCGGCTGAGGGTGACCGGGCGGACCAGTTGGGCCCAGTTGAGGTGACCGTACAGGCTCCGCTCTACCACGTAGGTGATGTTCAGCTCACTGACTGCGCCGCGACCCCTCAGCCGGCGGGAGGGGAACACCCAGCCCCCTCCCGGGCCGAAACCTTTTGATTTGGCTACGTGGCCGGTGCGGGTGGGGGAGGACGGGGTGACGCACACGGGGGAGGCCGGGGTCTTGGTGTTGCGCGAACGCTGGTACAGAAGGTGTTTGGTGGAGTACGAGTAGTTTGGATCGGGCTTTCTGAGCGTCCAGCTGCCGTGGTGCCGTTTGGCAGTGGGATATTTGGGGCTGCCTTCAGAGCGGTCATCGTCCAGGGGGGTGATGCGACGAGATTGGGCTTTGGGGCGGGGTTTGGTGAGGCCGTAAAAGGCATACAGGGCCTCGTTGTTACTTACCCCGTGGGAGATGGAGCTCAGGGCCTTCCGCATCTCGCCGTCGGTGGTGGAGCGCGACAACTTCCCTTCGTCGTCCAATCCGCAGCCATCCAGCTCCGAGAAGGAGGAGCCGCTACCTCCGACGCCGGGGACCGAGCCGACCGGGGTTCTCCTGGGCGGGCGGATGAGGCCGTGTGTGCTGGAAGACTTGCTGAAGGTCTTCACCAGACGGTGTCCGGACCAGGTGTCCAAGCTACTGGAGGACGGCGAGGTGGTCAGGCTGTCCGTGTCTCCGTCCACGGAGAGCTGATCCTGGCTGAGGGAGGTCTCCTGGGGCAACGAGTGCTTTTTCAGGACCCCCGTGTACAACGCTGCCTTGTCGTCACAGGTGGCCACGGACTCTACGTTGAGGAAATCTGACAGCAGAACAGAAATATCAACCGGCGGAAGATTTATCCAGCTTTGTTTTTCCAAGACAGCAAGCGAGCTGACAACTCCCAGATGCTTCCCATTTTAACGATTTACGAACCTTCGGATCCATGCTTCTTGCACTCCTCCACCTTAATGAGTTTTTTCCTGACCCGCCGGGTGGAATTAACCAGCTTGTGGAGCCGCTTGAACTTCACCGAATCCTCCGATTGCTCGTCGTCGGACTGTTCGCGAGATTGCTGCAATAAAGAGAGAGGGAGAGTGAGGAAGCGGGTTGACGTTCCACCGGACGCCAGTATTCTTTAAGTAGGCCCGATGAACGGAGCGCTGAAGAATGCAGCAACAGCAAGAAATGGAAAGGGGATTAAAACAAAAAAAAAATCACAGATGCCAATAAAACAGCTCAGTGAGACCAATAGATTTTGGGATCCTTGCATGCCATCAATGGGAACATTGTTGAAGATGGGAGTCAAAGTTAGTGTGGTGAGAAATGGAGGCCAGACACTGCGGAGACAACAATTAATTCACCACAAAATGGACCGCGGCACAGCGAACGGACCCGACATGAATCAGGAGCACCATCAGCGAGGCTGTCGCCTTTGGGAGGCGATTTACTCTTGGGGGAGTGTTGGGAGGAGGGGGGTGACAGGGTGCAAGGACACTCCATTTTGCGTGACAACACCCAATGTTGTTTTCGCTCTCCATTTATGGCCGTCGCATTTAAATGCTTTGGTGAAAAGGAAAAGAGATGCTCAGCGAGGCAAGTCTCAGACTTAAAAAAAATAATAATAAATCGATCGCCAAAAGCATCATAACTAAGGAAACGGCTATTGAACAGAGAAAAAAAAGGCTTTTGGTTATCATGATCGCTCATTATTTTCAATGCCGCCTATCCTGTTTTTTTTTTATACTACCGATTTTTATCTTACCGATTTTTGAAGAGACAAGCCGTTGCTTCGCTAATTACAATCAGGTGATTTTGAACAAGCGCTAAAGGACAAAGTACCGACCGGTATTGCAAAACAGTCAGTACAACAGTAAATTACTCGTCCGATCAATCGGCTATCGGAATATTATTCTGCCAAATATCGGAATTGGCAGTGGGCCTTCAATGAAAAAAAATTAATCAGTCAGGATCGACCAAATGTGTTCAGAAACACTATGTTATTGTTCTTAGTTTTATTTTGAAATTAGCACACACTTACTATTTATTTCCTGTAAGAATTTTGAGGTCTGCAATCATTGCTCTGTCTTTTTTTTTTTTTTTTGCTACTATATAATCTAATATGGTTCCAGTGCTACACAACATGCAGGATCCGTCCAACAACATATCCAAATGATCCGAAATTACGAAATGAAGAGCCACAAAATTGTTAGTGATTTATCAACAACCATCCCGCGCTCTTTGTGAGGGCAAAGATGAGCGCCCCAGCACTGGCATAATTACTGCCTGGCAAAAGTGAGCGCCGTTCCAGCTTCATTTGTTTCCAATGGTCTCCGTGGCAACGTCGCACAAAGAGCAACACATGCACGCTCAATCGCACACAACGATAGACAGAGCGAGCCTGTCTGAGTCCCGCCAAGTAATACCGCTCGAGGCTGACGAGCCATAAAGAAATAGCTTAATTGCTTTTTTTTTTTTTCCCTCTCTCTCTCTCCACCATCCCTCATTTTTGACCACAAGCTTGGCTCGGCGGCAGCTGACATAGAGCAACGATGATGTAAACAACTGTGGCTTGGAAGGCGCTCGCAAGCGCGCACACGTGATGTTTGGTAAATACCGGATGGCATCGCATCACCTCAGCGACATTCCAAGTTTCCGACGCCTCCGAGCGCTGTCTAGTAAAACCTGATTCACCTCGGACAAGTTCGAAAACACATCCATCAGCAGTCCCTCCTTTTTGCTCCAACACACACACACCACCCTTTAACCTTTCGCAAACCACACAAAACCAAAAGTCCGGCGTCTCTGTTTCGCAAACCACACAATTCTTGCTGAGGTCTTCAACTTGTACCCCCCCCCCCACCCCCGCAGAGCCGTAACATAAGATCTGGCATTTATCTGCCTTTCGCCGTTCACAGACAACCCAGCCAGAGCGCGTTCCTGCCCGTCGGCGTCTGAACACAGCGATGTCCGTGCCGAACGGAGGCGATTGCTTTCTCCAAGTCCCGTCAAAATAAAATGTCATCGCAGAACAACACATTACACAAAGGCATCTTCCGACCTCTGTTCCAGTTCAGAATATTCCCAGGCAGTTGCGTGTGTGTGGATGAGGACATGAAAACTCACTCCAATCTCTTCTGTGGTAGACTACCCATGCAAAGCACCGCAAATAAATGACACGCGGAAAGAAAGCCGGGAACCAAATCGGGACTGAAAAAGCAAAAGCATTTTCCATTCACGATGACATCTGCTCACGCCGTTGCCTGATACTCACCAGTTTTGCTCTGCCTATCGAGGCTTCGCACGCCACGATAACAATCCACACCCCGCGCAGTCACACGCGCAAATGCAAGGTCCAAAATCGTATCCGAGAGCTCGTTTGCACGCTGGCGCGCGCGCAGAGCAAGACTGGATTCCGCTCGGGGATAAGGGGCGGTCGGGGAAGTGCCATGAGGCACTCGGAGAAGAGAAATGCGTGTGTTGTGCACAGAGAACAATCCTAGCGTTTGAGCCCCCCGTGACCCTGCCTTGGCCCCCACCTCCCTAATGGCCCATCCTGGAATGTGTGGCTCAGATGGCCAAAAAGGAAGACGGACGGACGGGCCCATGAATGCAGTTTTATGACCGAGCGTGTCACTCCGTAGCCTAATGACTTGAGAAACAGGCGCGCACTGTGCAGACGCGTCTGCATATAGAGCGTGCAGTCACAGACGATTGTTGGGAATGACCTTAAACCCATTCAAGCGGCGGTTGACATCATAGAGGCCCCCCCCCCGGAAAGAGACTAACTCTTCCTTTGCTTCTCAAAAATCAATCGGGTCGCGGCCAGGAAATGAGATGATCCCAGCAGAGGGTTTTTTTTTTTTGGTGCGGATGAACTTCAGGACCGACACCGAGCACATGTGAGAGATTTATTTTCACTTCCCGTGCTTGTGATTGCCAAGTGTCGAAAACCCATGCCTTCTTTATTTTCCCCATTTCCTCCTCTTCTAGAGACAGACACGAGACGACATGACCCTTTTCATTTATATACACAAACTATTAGTTGAGGCCATCAAAATAAAACAAGGAATCCGATTATTTACCTTTTTCGACAAGAAGCTAAAAGAAACCGCTGGCTCGGAGTCGCGTGAAGGGGATCAGATGTCACTCCGTGTTTTCAACGAGCGGCAGAAAATAGAAACGTTACTGATGTGGAACTTGGATTTGGGAATTAACACGCATCCTGTTGCGAAAAGTGGGTCGGCGCGCTGGGCTAAATTGCACGTTTCGCCCATATGATACCATACTGCGTGAGGCTAATGAAAATCAGCTGTGACCTAGATTAGAAATGAGGAAAGCCAACCAAGGCAGACGCGTGCAGAAAAGAAGACAATTCCAAATGAGTAATAGTTAAAAAGTCCACATTGTCCTCTGGCTTGGGCAGTTTCAGTCCGCCGACTGAAAATCCAATTCACTAGTTTGGTGGTTCCATCAAAGCAGGACAGTTCAGAAGTCTGAAACAGCAAAGCCTGATCCGATCCGGCTTGCAGGGTATAAAGTCCAGATTCCGTTTTTGAATACATCCTCAGGAAGACATCCTGCCAAATTGCTTCTCGGTCAACTGGCATTCGCTTCACTCACGCGGACGAACTCCCAAATCTGCGTTTTTAACTCCACTGGCAAGACTCCGGTTTCTGCTCACCGGGCATACCACCACCACCACCATCCTCGCTCTCCGTTTCTTGTCCGTATTGTGCCTGTTGCTCATCCTTCATGAAGCAACAAGTAGCACGCTAATAAACAACACAAAGTTAGCCTATTCCAGAGGTTTCATTCCCACGCCTATTTGCTAGCGTAGGATCAGAGTGGACATTCTGATGCAACCAAAACCAAACTCATCACCTCAGAAGCCACAAATGACTCTCCAGAGACCAAAGATAAAATATTTACGTCACCCTGATGGATGAAAAAAATGCCAAAGTAACCAACATGCGTTGGCAAAACCTTACACCAAGATGGAGCATGACATTTTGAGAAATGACATGGTGGACGGAAGGTACGGTTCAAACAAATAGGACATAGTTGCCAAGTGGGGGAGCAATGTAGGAAAAAGGAGAGATTGACAGTAGGAAGAAGAGCAAGACGGAGGCGGAGACATTTTTTGGGGGGGGGTCTTCCTATCTTAAACAAAAAACAAAAAAAAAAAAAAACAACATGCATTGGAATCAAAATCCTTCCTTTATCTCCTTGGCTGTTCAACATACTAAATGAAGAGTAGTTGAGGACAGAACGTGTGGTTTTTTTTGGGGGGGGGGCGAGGGTGAAGGGAGCGAATGGGAAGTGGGGGTGTACTTACGTTGCAGTTTGAGGACTGGTTTGGACCGGCTGCAGATCCGTCAGTCCACTCTGCAGTGTCAGTACTGCCGGACTGTCTGTTGCGCTCATACTCCTTCAGCTACGTGGAGGAAAAAGAGTTAAGAGAGGCAGAGGAAGAGGGGGGGGCGGGGCCGCCGCGCTCTCACCAAGCTCTCCGATGCAGCTGCAGCGCGCATTCAAAGCGATGTAGTGGTCAGTAATTATGCTCCTTGGCCAAATGACTGATCTGAGCTGTATTTTTTTTTTACTTAAAAGTTGGACGCTTGAGCTCTTCTGAGTCAACGTACGACTGTTCAAAAGTCTTTGGCGATCGTCGATGATGATCTTTTTCACACCGATGCGGTTTACGAGATGACGGAAAAGCTACTGTTAAGATGCGACTTTCTAGGTTATGGTTTAAGCTACACTGGGAAAAACTGCGAAAGAATGAAGGAAGCTTTTACAGGAGCGCAGCATGAAAGGTTTCCCGATGTTTTGCATTCTTAAATCCTTCCTTTGTGTCATGAACGATTTTTGCTCCACGTACAGCACTTTGTACACAGCGGTGGTTGTTTTAAAGTGCTCTAGAAATACAGTTGAGATAAAATGTTCAAATGTGGAGACAGCGGCATTTATATGCATTTCTTTTGTTCAAGATTCTGCCTTGGCGGAGGTCTACGCTTTGCTTTGCGACATTCTAGTTCTCGTTCACTGTCATGAAATCGGAGCTCAAACAAAATGGCGGCCAAGGACCTTAGCACACTACTGTCACCTTGACTACATCTCTTTATGCATTTCGCTAAGGCGACGCTGCTGGTTTGATTGGTCAGCGGTTCTACGGGGACGCGCAATCCACAAAGCTCGCTCATTGATTGGTTGAATGTCTTCATGTCAGCCAATAGAGAATTTGAAGAGAAAGGTGAGGAGCCACCTTGTGGACAGCAAATCCAGCCAGTGGTTGAGGTGCCCATGAGCAAGGCATTTGAGGAGGTGAGTGACAGGAGGAAGGGAAGGAAAGGGAGGATAGAAATCGGGGGGAACTCGTCAATCAAAAGCGAGGGGAAGCCAAATGACAATCCACCATGTCCAGCAACTGAGAGCAAGCCATCAAAGTTGTCCACCTCATCATATGGTACACCAAGTTCTGCACAGGCACACTCCTAAAAATCACCCCCCCCCCCAAAAAAAAAACACCCACATCAAAAACAAACACAAAAATCCTTCAGAGTGGTCTGGAGTTTGTGTGTGCATAAAAAGGATAAGTTAGCAACGCATGGCTTCCATCGCGGTTAGTAACAATGAGTCATCTTAGTCAGCTGGTAGTTCAGATCAAGTCTGCTTTTAAAGGGCGGAGGTGGCAGGACGTTCTTCGAGAGTCCCTACCCGAGCCAGCGCTTCTTCCACGGTGATCATCTTCTCTTTCACCATCATCATCAGCTGGATTCGCTCCTCGTCGCTCATGGTGATCTCACTGGCCACGTAGCCAATGTCCTCACCTGAAGGACGAGGGCACATCGAAAATGGCTGAAGATCCAAAGCAGGGAAAAAAAAAAAAACACGCGCACCACACAAACCTTTGGATGTCTGTCGCACGACCGCCTTGTGTTGAGGCTTGCGGAAATTCTGCCAGAACGACTTGTTCTTCTTCTTGTTGTCCCATTTCCCTAAAGAGAGGACAATTTTTTTTTTGATTCATAGAAGATTCTAATGCCAAACACTTTTTTGAACAGGGCAGGCTGAAATCCATTACCTCCAGATCCATCTTCAGAGCTGGATTTGTGCAGCGACATCCTGGGGGGTAAACAAGTGAAGCTTAATATGAATTATTTTACATCAATTAGAGCATTAAACATGGCACAGAGTGCAAAAGTGGCTTATTCCATTTGCCTGCAGCATAATGGCAAAATGCTGCCTCACCATGTTTGCTTTCAACACTAATTGACCCAAGTCGGCTGACCTCCAAATCCTCCTTCGTCGCAGAAATGGCAATTTACTTGCCAACCCAGTACCAAACGCGAGTCAATTTGACATGCTCGTCTACAAAGTCCACCCCCCCCCAAAAAACCCCTCCCCTACCAACGGAACTATCGTGCAATCATTTTGTCAACGGGGCTCCAAAACAATCCAGTCTCCAAAACACTGCTGACACACAATCATTTTTAGCTAGGCAGGATTTCCAAGACATTTCCCAGAAGTTCCGAGTTTTCTGGAACACCATACCATGCAATTTGTTGTTTTAGCAGTGGTGTAATTGACACATAAAACTAGAATGTCATTCAGTTGACCACCGACATAGCTGAACTGAAAAAAACCCGTGAAGCTGAGTGGATTGTTTATTAATTTGTTGGTTTAAATATTCACATATATTCAGGAACTGCACCTGTTGGAAGATGCTGACCTTCATTAAATTTCTTGGCCCATTTGGTATCACTATTTATGCTCAAAAATTAACTGAATTCTGGACAAATTAGTTGGAGGCTCTTTGCATACATGTAACTGCAGTTCCGTCGCCTGACCACATGAGGGCAGAAGTGGTTCTCAATTCGAAGCGCTGCGACCAGCCAGGAGGAGGGGAAGAGAGTGGAGAGAAAATGGAGCAAAAATATGGAAGAAAAAGGGGAAAGGAGGACAGTAAGAGGCGAAAAAAATCAAAAGAGGGCAGAATCAGCCTGTTTGCGTTTCCACTTCCCTCCGCCGGTCACAAGCATAAAAACGTGTTGTTACGACATGGAAAGCACGAAGCATAAAAAAAGTCCTGACATGTCTACAAACCATCCAAAGTCATCAAAATTAAGGGAGAAAAATAAAAACTGAGCGGCACACGAAAGCCTTTTTCCACCATTAAATGGCTGCAAGTTCGACAACTGTTTGAAGCGATGTGAAGCAGTGGCATCATCGTTAGAAATATTTCTCCACCTTAAAAGCGGGCCTCGGATGTGCTTCCGTTGTTTCAAAAAGTATTTTTCAAGCCGCCGCTACTTTTTCCATAGATGAACATAAAAGCCACGCCAAGGAGATTCAGTCTGTACCTGCATGACTATTTGAACGCCTTCTCACTGGAGGAGACTGAAGGCCTGGCATTGTAATGAGATGCTAATTCATTGGACGCCTGCTTGAAAGAAAAAAAAAAAAGTCAAACGCGAATCGCAACAACTCAATCAGAACTTTTCTCAGGCAGTGCCCCCCCCCCCCTTCTTCCCCACTACCCATGCGTCTTCCCTTCAGGCGCTATAAATTAGCCTGTGCAGCGCGCACACAGACCTGTGCTGCTCGCACACCCTTTAAAAGGAGCCGGAATGTCTTTCCAGGGTGTCAATCCTGGCACTGTGCAGCCTGGCAACTTAATTGGTTTAACCCTCCATCTATGGCATCCCCCCTCCCACCCCCTTTTTAATTGAATCCTACGTGGTGAATGGCGATTATATCTTAAACCCCAACTTTCCAAACAGTATAATGTGACTCGAAACTTTAGCGGGAGCGACATAAGGTACGCTGTGCGCATTTCCTCGACAGCTCTTAAGGTGCATCAATCAGGATTTTGTGTCCTGCTTTCAACAAGATCAATTCACCTCACTCATTGATATGCTGCCCCCATCTCTCGCGCTCTCCAACAATACCCCAAAACAGGAAGCCCCTTGCTTGAACCCCCCCTTGCCCGTCATCAGAATACTGCAATGCACCACGACAAGTGTGCCCACCTCCTGCCAACAAGGAGCGACATTGATTTTGTCGGGGTGGTTGCGGGGCGCTGTGAGGTGCAGCCAAAGATTAAGCAAAACAGCAAAAATCTGATTTTTTTTTTCCCAGTCTATTTTTTTTAAAAGAGCTAATATTGGCCGATGATACGGGTCGGGCCGCGGTTTAAACCCGCACCCGCGATGAAGCTTTGAGTTACAGTCGTGACATTTTGCTCGGTGTAAGCAAAGGGAATTCGTCATGCGTTCTTGAAACGACGAGTGCCCTCTGAGCGAAACAAAAGCAGACTGACAGGAAGACGAGCAGCACAGCAGCCAAGTTGAAGGCAAAAGGGGAAGACGTCATTCCGAATCGTTTGGCATCTGGTTCCAATCACGTTCGGGCTTTTCTCCGCGCAACATATACATCTGTGCGAGAGGCCAGTCTGTGGTATGCGCTTCCTCTGCCGCGCATGCTTGTCACTTGAACGGTGCGAGCCCACAGGAGGGTCACGCCGGGGTGACCGTCTCCCCCAAAATATGACAAATAAGATCTTCTTGCGTTATGTTAGGTATTTACGAAAGCAAGCATCCATTTTCTCCACTTATCTTGTCCCAGGGTGGCCAAGCTAGCTGCGTCGGTTACGCAAATGAAGCATCACAGGCAAAATATTTAAACCAGATCAGGCTCTGCAGGTATAACCAAGGAGTGAATGTGGGGGCATTTTTCTTTTCTGACCCATTTCCCTGCGGTGATGTCATACACTTTTGTGTTACAGGAACCGCGCCCAAACCCGGTTCAATCAGAGCGTCTTAGTCTATGCTTGTCGGACTGTAATCATTCGGCCATCGCCCTGTAAAATGCGCCTTCCTCGCCCTCCTGCCACCGCCTGGACACAAAAGCAGGAAGGAAAGGACGAAAGCCTGCTGGAGCGAGCGCGTCAGAAGAAGGAAGCGGCCGGCCGTTTTCCTGTCAGCGCCGTAACGATGTGGCAGAGACATAAAAGTACGGGTCATGCAGCTTATGAGTATTGTTCAGTTTTTGGGGAACACGCTCGCTACACGTTCAGTGCTTTTTCATTGCGTGAGTTCAGTCAAGCCGTGTTTTCATGTGTCTACATGCTCCTCGGCTTGAAGCAAACACGGCGCCATCTCCTCTTTCGCACGTCTGGCTGCACTCATCTCGTAAAGTGGCAGCTTTCCACCTGAGGAGGTTGACCTCGACTGCCCGCGGGCGCGCTTCAGTGCCCTATCCTTGAAGCCCCTCGCCGCGCAGTTCCATCAATCACCCGAGGAGCGAGTGGAAGTGCGTTTGTGCGCGCGTGGCGGTGGGGGAGAAGCTAAATGTAACGCGATGTTTTGTTTGATACTGCATTGACAGCAGTCAAAGGGCTCGCTCCTTTGTCGGGGCAGTGGACTTACTTTCTGTCCGTTTCCGGAGTGGAGACTTCACTGCTGAAGCCCAGCGACTCCTGAGGAGAAAAGACAGCTGAGTTAAAACCCCGCTAGCGTAACGCTCGCTCTGCGCAGTAGTTGTCCACACAATAGGCTTTGTATACATTCCGATGTCCTAACTGCATATGGGGCAAGTTCATCAAGAAGCCCCCCCACTGAAACTTGGGAATTGAAACAATAATAGTTCACTTCTCTGTAGGCAGCCGAGTTACTCAATGATTCATCATAGCGACAGTCTAACCCCTGGAATAAATACTTCTGCACGGGAAATTGTGTTCTGTTCCTAATGAAGTGGCTGGTGGGCGTGCATGCGTCATCGACATACCTGGATCTCGTTGCGCAGCTGCAAAGAGATGTTTGGATCCTGTTTCTCCTACGGGACAAGAAAAAAAAAAAAGTGAGTCAACATCATGGAGTATATTTCAAAGATGTAGAACAGAGGTCAGCTCATCAGCGAGCTCTGCAGAAGCCTGGGGGAGAGATGGAAAACATGGAGGATGGCGGCCCTCAAGGACTGGAACTTGGCACCTTCGATGTTGGAGAACTGTCCAGCATTTGTGGGTGTTTTTTTTTTTTTTTTTTTTTTTTTTTGACAAAAGGGGGGAAAAAGGGGGTCGAGTGGCAGCAGACCTATTATTTACTCATAATATTACCCCGCATGTGGGAAGCCCATTCTGGCACGTCGACAGAGCCGCCGCACGAGTGACGACAAACATACGAGCATGTGCGTGCAGCCATCCCTTCGTTTGCTCAACAAGTTAATGTTTCGTAAAAAGCGACGTGACCCGTTTTAATTGCCCTTTGCTAAAATAGTGGATGTACCTCGCCCCATGCTATTGAATTTTTTTTTTTTTTAAGTCACTCATGTCACGCACGACCCCAAATTTGCGCTGCTAAAATGACAAGGACGCATTCGGCACGCGTTATATTAAATGCTACAAGTTGTAACTCCTCATTCTAGCAATTTTCAGAGTCACCGGTGCCAAAAATATCCTCCAAGACAACTTCTCCTTTCTATTTTCTCAGTGACCCAAAAGCACGGCAAATAAGTGTGATGCAATTCAACGTGCAAAATCCCATTCCTGACGCAAATGGTGAATGAAGTCAATTCATCAAAAGTTAATATCACTAAGTTACATAATGTAGTTGCCAAGTTTTGAAAAAAAAAAAATGGAGACATTAAATGGAGCTCACTAATGGGCAAGAAACAGCGGAGCACAATTATTTTCCCGCCTAGGTGGGTTGCCAAAGAATCTAAAAATATAAAGACATTAAAGTTCATTATGAGGCCATTTGAAACAGGAACAAAAAAAAAAAAAAAAAAAATCACATTGTTGCAGTTGAACATTGCTGTAATGAGGGAGCATATTAATCGTACTACAAGTTACAATCGATTTATTGTTATGAAATACCGTTGGAAAAAAATTGAGCACATTACTTGGCAAGGAGCAGTCTAATTAAAAAAATATTTTACCATCTTGTATTGGTTTCTTTTAATGATAGAAAATTTGAAGAAAAGATCGCAGCAGGCAGGTGTTTATATCTCATTCACTTTTTCTACCAATTTCCATCAACATTTAGTGGCTTGACATTTGAATTTTACTGCTACACTGTGAGAAATTAACATCTTCTGTTCAGGGTCAAATTGACCCACTGACCTAAAATGAAGAGCACTGTTTTTTTTTTTTTTGTTTGTTTGTTTTTTTTAATGGGTCATTTGGACTCGCTATGTAGAAGGACTGTGCTGAAATAATTCAATGAGTGACGGCTTTTAATTTTCCACCCTGTCACTCAAGGACGCCCGATGACAGAATGCATAATGTAGAAACGGAAAAATGTAGATTAGGCATTAAGTAGAATCATTAGTGAAAGCCCAGAATAGAATCAAGTCCAACAATGGAGGCAAGCGCGTGTTAATCTCGCCAAAGGGAGCGACGTGCCCGCATAAAAGGAAGTGACATCCGTCATGTTCCCAGGCTGGTCGCCGACCTTTTATCACAAAAGAGGAATGAAGTCATCTTAAATGAACAGAAAAAGAGAAATGATGATTTTTTTTTTTCCTCCCAGATGAATCACCGCACAACAGTCATCAAAAATTGAACCCCGATATCACCTTCCGAAATTTACTGGCGCACTTCCTGATCAGTGTGAACTTGGATATGATTGTGTGCGTGAAAGGTGGTTGGGCGGGGGGGGGTTTCCTTCTTTATGACTGTTTGGCAATGAGTCAGTACATAAACAGCTAATGCCAGGCCCATAAAACTGTTCAACTCACAAATAGTTTTAGCTTTACACTGTTTTTTGCCCCATTTTTCCAAAGATGCAAACCAGGCCATGTCAAAAATAGCCCACAAACAATTTGTCCCGACCGGCAAGGATGGATTATTCTCTTAAGTGACATGGCAGGTATCTGGCTCGGGCTACACAAATGATTCTTTTATTCCTTCCAGCAGAGGAATATGAAGTGATTTTATGAGATTGCCAGGATGCATGTCAGGAAGCTTTGAGCAAACTTTTTTTAATACTGCTAAGCGTCAGCGTAGAGCGCCGATGCGTTATGTGGAACTGGGAGTCGCGGCTTGGAATTGAAGCGGATTTACGTGGGACAGGAGAAGAGAGCCAATCTCTCTTTTTCGTTAATGGATGCTGCAGCTTCTTGTTGATTTCAAGCTTAGCTTGGAGCAGACGTGTGCACATTTCAGCATGATCCACTGGTGAAAAGGACACTTTGATTCCCTCCTCTTTCATCTATTACTGCTTCAAAAAAGTGGTTAAGATGGCACGGTTGTCTGTTTTATGTGTTGTGTTGTATTATTTTGTCATTTTATGTACTTCACATAAAATGACAAAATAATACAACACAACACATTCTTTTGATGGCGGCGCGGGCACCCGCAGCGGCTCCTCTTTTTGTCTGTTGTCTGTTTAAGAGGGAGGAAATTTCATCCGTGCTGCTGTATGTTACACATACTGTACAGCACATTTGACAATAAAGTTGTACTTGCTACTTGATAAGAGTCAGAGTAGTCGAACAGAATACCAATTAAGCATCGAAATCATCCAACAACATCCTGCTGTAGAAGCAGAACTTTCAAAAGTGACGACAAATCTCCTCTTTCAACAACCTTGGCACTCCCCCCCCGCCGAGTCGAAACTACTGAGCCGCCCACAACGATGTGGCTGAACAAAGAAAGCGAGCCGCCGACGACGAGGTGAGCGAGCGCTCGGTGGCACGTCGCGGCGTTTCGCAGAAAGTGGCAGGAGATTGCTTTGGCTATCAGATCCTCTTTCATGTTCCCCGCCGGCGAGGACAGTCTCACCGACATGAAGGCAAAATCTATTTTTAAAAAAACTCCCCCGTTATGAGCTGGTTGGCCAGCATGCCGCACATTAAAAGCACACCATCTGACAAAGATTTATACATTTCGGCACGGGAGGGGACAGATTCAGACACAGAACCCCCACGCCCCCCCCCCCACCCACTTCAATATTTGACACAGGGGGAGGCTTTGAATGCGTGAAACAAGAAAGATCAGTGGGGGAAAAAAAAACATCTGTGAGAGCGCTGATGTTGAAAAATTCATGCAAAAGCTTACGGGGGTAAAATTCGCATTTCTGTCCGAAGCTTTGCTGACAGCGAAAAATCAATGTTTTTGCCAGGTTTGTACGTGGGCGTGTGAAGGAGAGTTCACACAAACCCAATCCCATGGGAGGCAACGCTATCCTTTACATGAACTAGCCGGCACCAGCCCGCGATGTTGCCCCGCTTACCTCGCCGTGAACCGACGTGCGTGCGCGCAAACGTGGAGATCAGTCGGCGGACTTGTTTGCGATGCCGGCGCTGATGGCTTGTGTGTGACTGGATTGATTCAAAGATCGGGTGAGAGGAGCATAGAGAGAGCATGTTTGCCTCTAATGAGGATCACGCTCGCTGCCGACCGGGACGCTCAAATTGGAAGGCAACAAACTCAATGTGACATGGCCGCGAAACAGAAAGGTCGTGGAAGCTGCTGTCAAGCAATGATTCGAATATGTTGCTTGAGATGAAAGAAACGGGGAAAGTGCAGGTGATTGATTTTCAATTTCTTCATTTATTGGGCAATAATCTAATTGTAACATGTATTGGCGCCATATTTTGTTGCATTTTTATGCTTTAAAAAAACATTTATGACTGAATTTTGGGGCGCTTGGAACGAATTAGGGCATTTACATGGAAAACGCGTCTCTACTTACATATTCTAGTTCAGAATTTTCTTCTAGAACATATTAATTTCGTAAATACAGGTACCACTGTACACCGATTTCGACACATTGCAAACTCTTGACTCCAGGTTTGATTCTTTCTGGCTCACAGCTGCATTTCCAGAAAGTCTACAAGGAGGGAGAGCGTAGAAATACCCCGTGCGAGTGTTAAATCGCAACTGTTGGTCCAAGCATAACTGCAAAGCCCGCCGTCGGCGGGAGATACCGCAGCGCTGCCGGTGCCAAGCTCCTAAGCGAAAGGTGGGCGGATATGCGGCAAAACCCGAAAGACCAGGTGGCTTCGGTGGAGGTGTGCCAGCTGGCGTGGTCTGACGAGTCTGGGTGGGCGAGCGCGAGGGCGATCGTTAGCAATGTACCAACTGGTGGAAAGCCTGGTGCAAAGCCAAAAAAAATAGACGTGAAGCTGCGGGACCAGAATGGCGTGATTCAACCACGCGGAACTGGCCGTGCACATAAAAACACGCCGGTTGTCAGGAGCCAGTAGTAAAACAGAAAAAGCACCAGCCCACTCGGTCACACCTCTTACCCTCTTCTGTTCCAAAAAGTGGCGCGCTAGTGCGAACGGCCACACTTGCGGCACAGGCATGCTTGTGTCGAAGGTGTCGAGCGTTCCAAAAGCCTTTTTGGATCAACGTTATTTTTGCAATTCAAAAGGCAAATAGCAGAGTGATTATAAATTCCAATGACATCGTCACCTTCTGTAGACCGACAAATAAATCCCGCAATAAGAATTACAAAACTAACACATGCCGGCGGGTTATCTCAACATTGGAGCGCCGGCATTATTTGAAGGAAATCTTAACGCAACAAAACGGCTGCGGGCTACGTTTCGACGCTAATGCCCCCGGGGGGGAAAGAACAAACAAGCACCTGGCGTTTGCATTTCTTTCTTCTTCTCCGTCGTCGTAACCTCACTGATCTGACCCACTTCGCTAAACAACTTGGCCCCGCGGCGGCTTGCCTCACGGCGAAGCAAAACACTTTCACGGTCTCGACCGCCAAGCTCAAAACCGATCGCTGAACATTCCTGAGGTCGTTCCCGAGGCTTCGACTGTGTCATCCCTCAAAGAAGAATTTCCTTCTTCAGTTTTCAGAATTTCAACTTTAGACCGTATACACCACAGGTGTCAAACTCAAGGCCCGGGGGCCAGATGTGGCCCACCAGATCATTTTATGTGGCCCGCCAAGGGAAGAGGCAACTCTAAATTGGCCCGCGACGAAAATGAGTTTGACACCCCTGGTATACACAATCGTCAAAATAAGTCATTGAGAAAGCTTTGCAGGATGTCTTTCCATTTCAAGTTCTGTCGTCAACAACAGTTCTTTGTGCAACTTTTCATTGCATTTACATGATAAACAACCCAAACAATTGTGCTTAAAAAGTCAGGCAATGCACAATAAACCGACTGCGTTCGACTTATCAGGGTTTCCAGGTCATGCCCGTTTGTTAGCTACCGTCTACATATAAAGTTGTCTAGTTGAGGCTTCCGAATATTTCTGTACCATCAGCATAGCAATGGGATTCCCCTCTATAAAGACTGCTGGGAAAACATAGCATGGCAGTGCTAATCCATAGGTCCCCGTTCCCCGAGGGAATGTTGATTTACCCCTTTTGTTCGCGAGCTAACGAAGATACAGAGAAACAACACGGCCGGCAGGAAGTGGATTCGCGGTCTCTGAGAGCCTCCATCATCGGCTCTAAATGGGAGAGGAGGCATGTTTGACTTCCAACAACCGTCGTCGTGTGAACGAGAGGGCCCCCCCTGAGAGGCGTAGCGGACGCATTGCGCGAAACAAAACAAAGCCAAAAACAATGTCCAAACGCAACTTCCACTCAAAACAACAGTGGAAGATGGGTGACTTCCATCCCTGCCGTTTTCCATCCCTTCTTATCGTACTATCGCTCTGACTACACCCTGAATTCCAGTTAGTCTCAGGGCCATTGTATCCACTATGTAAACCACTAACTCACGACCGATAGCCAAGAACAGCAACTTGTGACGATCAAATAAGATAAACGGACATTTTTAAATGTCTTTTACAAAGTACAATGACAGATAACTAAGATTAACAGACCATTTTCGAAACCCGCGACTCATTCGAGACTGAACTGATCAAACATATCGTCCGTTTGCGCTACTTGGCGGAATTTATTTTGCATGATCTTGCTGCTTTGATGGATGAACTCAGGAGAATGAAGGACAATGTAATCTGACTCGAAATGTTCTCGCCATTTAAATGAGAGCGGAAGAAGGACAATCATGGGAAAAAGGGGGATCGGTATTGTGGAGACCAATCTTCCTGTGCCCTTTGCAAGACTTTGGCCTTTCATGTAAAGGCCTCGTCCCTCTCGAGAGCCACTTTGGAAATGCCTCGCCATTAACATCTCGTCACCGACATTGATTGTGACCTTCTAGACCGCCATCAATCCGCAGGTAGACAGCCGCGTGGCATTAAATAGCCCAAAAGTAAGACATTGAAGCTGCTATATTCTGGTGTTAGTTTTTTAAAAAATGGTTATGTGATGTGTGAATACTTTTTTCGGGACCATTTTAGAAAGGGCGTGAAGTTAAAAAAAATCGATACGGCGTGGGTTTGAGTCTGCGCCGTTTGAGAGAACCTCAATGAGGGGGTTGTCTCCCTCTTCTCTCCTCTTGATATTTTGCTGCCAAACTTCGCAAAGTGGTGCGACAGCTGCGGGCTCTCAAATTCACCTCTCCTCCTCTTCATTCCACTCATCCATTCGCCCCAGTCCGCATCCTCCTTCAGGCGCATGCCCCCCCCCCCGATTCATTCCCATTCCCCAGTTTTTTGGATGAGACTGTTTCAAATTATCTTCAGGCAATTTACGATGACTGACAAATATTAGATTTAACCCCCCCAGGCCAGACAGCAAGAACACACCGACAGATGCTTGAACCGTTTCCACTGTCAACGACTTTGATGTGTCGGGAAAAAGGACGCATTCGATAAATCAGCGCCTTGCCCACCCGACCGAATCCACATTGTTGCCACCAAAAACAAGCGCGCCGATGACGGCATGAGTGAAAAGGAAAAGGTGCAAGGTGGCCGATCGACCGTTGCGCTCCGTGAATGCACGTGCGGCATGTGTGAGCAATAACTTGAGTCCGATTGTTGCGTCACGCCATCGGCATCTGGAGGTCGGTCCTCCACACATTTTTGGAGTTTTACCACGGCCCTCAAACTCACAGATCACTTTTTTTTTTTTTTTTTTTAAACTTCATCTCTGCAACACCAACGTGACTTCATCATTTTCCACTTACAAGTAATTCAAGATGGGGGCTTCCCAGCTTCGACAAAACGGGAGGCCAGCCAGCGGGGCTCACGGATGGAACGTGACCATCATCACAAAATCAGAATCATCACTCAATTTTTTTCGGGGGCGGGGCCAGAGCGCTGGAAGCAGTCGATCATCCGTGTACACTTCATTGCACCTCTCGACGTGTCATTGGAGCGGCTCAAGAAACAGGTTTCGATCAACCTGACAGGATCCGCGGTTTTGTTTACATGCGGGCTTTGTGGCGAGAGCACTATGGCGCAAACAACCTTTATGCTACCACTTGCTGCATTCCTTTAAACGTTTGCTTGCAGCTAGGCAACCAAAGAGGTGCCCCACTAGCCTACATCCACGCGAAAAGGGACAAAGACTCCGAGATAGAGACGGCTAAGTGGCTACGCGGCAGAAAGGAGCGACGATGGGTGTTTGTTTACCATGTCCAGCTCTTGGGACACTCGTCTCTTGCGGAGCTCCTCCATACGGTCGCTGACGTCGCTGAAGCAGGTGTTGTAGTATTCCGAGTATTCCTGAGCAAGGTCATCTATGTTGCCCAGGGAACCATCCTGTAGAGAGAAAGAGAAGAAGATGTTTAGCCTCAGAACATCCAGGAAGGAATGGAAAAACGCTGCCATTGCAAAATCTTTTTATAATGCCATTGTTCCTGTTGGATAATCACTTGCACACGCACAATACAAACAGAAACGTTATGAATACATTTGAATAAAAAGGTCAGCGTTGTTTGAACTTTCATTCATTTTTTTTTTTTTTTTTGCCATCTTTGTCAGGCCGCGGTTTGTTTATGGTCCTTATCCCGTTCGAACCCGCATGCCCTTTTCCCTCCTTGGGACGTTGACTGAACCCAAAATCAAAACACAGTCTTCCGCTCGCTGCAGTTCAGATCGCCGCGGTTCCTGTCTTTGTCTGCTGCACTTGCGTTGTGGGTCAAGGGGAGGAAAGGTTTCAACCACTAAGAGCGAAAAGGAACCCGTTGACTACTAGAGGGGTCTGAGTGAAAGGCCAGAGATCAGTTAATGAGAACCTTTTTTGCGTCCTCTGGATCTTTTATTCGTTAGATGGTGGACAGGAAGCATTCTCGAAGTCTGGTCTTGGTAAAAATGTAGGTCACCCTTGCAACGATAGGCCTCGATAAATATTCATCAGCGTTGATCCGGGCGGACAACTAGCATTGAGTCACTTGCGCGAGGGTCCGAACAGTCTCTCTTAGACGTTCTCAACTGGACTCACTATGCGGCTGCCAGGCCGCGGATAAATGGATCACTGTGAGTGGATGTGAGGCTTTGCCAGTGACACATGCAAACACTGGCACGGGGTCTTCTTTCGGAGATGTGTGTGTGTGTGTGTGTGTGTGTGTGTGTGTGTGTGTGTGTGTGTGCATCAGTGTGAGAGAACGCACATTAACTCATTCAGTACCAGCCAATTCTAGACCAAGTCTGAAAAGACGTTTAAAAACGTCTTTGGGAGTGAATGAGTTTTAACATGCAGGAGATTCCAACACAACCCGAAGCAGGCGGAGAGTGACCTGAACAGAACTACTGGAGTATCTACTGAAAATATGCGACTTCATTTCGAGACGAGAATCACTCACGCCGTGATCTGGAGTATTTGAGGGTCACACGTGATTTGCGATGGGACTTCTAAACACACACACAACAAACGTCTCGTTTCGGCTGCTTTCCCATTGGATAACAAAAGCAGTTGCGTCCCAACACATGGTTCCAGCTGACGGACGAATCTCAACAGGGACATTCCCTGAGCAGTTTTGCTCTTCCGAGAAACATATGCTGCGCATGTTTTAGTCGGCTAAAATAACGCAATGTGGTTTTTTTTTTTTTTTCCCTGGTTAGCCGCAGGCAAGTTTCGGGAGGTGTTAATAAGCATGCTGGATTAGCTTGATCATGCCGGCGGAAGTGACGACTCCAGCTGTGCCGCCAACCTCGCCGAACGAAGGGTTTTGAGTGACCATGTCGGGGTTAACGACAACGTTGGCAGTCTTTGATCAACATCTTTAGGTATTGCCTAAAACAACCGCAGCCGGAGCAGTGAACAGCCAAGGTCTGCAAATCTTGGCTCGGCTCCCATTGTATGCTCGGCAACTCCAAATCAAATCTCACACTTGCACTTAAAAGTTGCTGGCGACAAGAGCTTGAGAGAGTCAAACTGCTCGGGATGACGTAAACCGCTCCTCCGCCCTGAGCGAAAAGGGAGGGACCGACTCCCAAGATTGACTTGGAACAATAAAAACAACACCCAAGAACTAACACGTAGGAATGCTTGCGTGTATTGTCAGTCAAGGCGCATGTGTCATCGTCTTGTGAAGGAGGCTGCCAAACTTTTCAACAGATTTATAGCATAAGCAAAGTGCAAGTGGATTCGTCAAGATGTGCGAGCCTCGCTCATAAAAATTGATGACATTATCTCCGCTATAGACTCCATAATACCGCCGCAAAATTTCGGCGAGTGGAAATAGTCAAAAGGCCAAGTCAACTTTCCTCGCTTAATCAATTGGCCACGGAATTCTTCGCATAGCGTTCCAGAGACCGTGAAGGCTTTCCTCGACGGACTGCTTTCCTCTTTCACGGACCGTATCAAAGTGTCCTTGAGCAAGCGACTGAACCCCCCCAGTCGCTCTTGATGTTGCGTCATCAAGTAGGTGAATGAGCTAACGGTGTAAAGCGCTTTCGGTACCCGAGGTAGAAAAGGGTTATATAAGTGACAGCCCATTTACATCTCATTTAGACTGTCCGGCCGGCACACAAGGTCGATTTTTGGTTGCAGTTTGGAAAAACTGCGCTCCAAAATTAACTTCACAGCTCAGTGGTAATCTTCAGATCACTCAACAGTTCTCCTCAAGCTACTCTTGAAGGCATTGCAGAGTTCAAAAAGTACTTTTTTCTTGGACAAGGAAAAAAAATTTTTTAAATCCCCAGGTGCTAAAATCCTAGCGGTAAAACCATAATGCTCGCTCTGGTCAATTCTTTTGGACTTACATTCCTGACAGCGCTGGTGTTGGGTGACGTCGAATGCCGGTATCCGCGGCATTGTTACCCAAATTGGCCTCGCGACTGTTCTCTTTTGGGAAAGGACAATGACAAAGTGTGTACAATGGAGCCGGGTGTCTCAAGTTATGTCAAGAAAACGACAGCCGGCGCGATCACTTTCACACGCTACGTAACTTCGGGACTGGCTCAGCCGGTTAAAATTACCGACAGCTGACTTGTTTTGTGCTGTAACTGTACTCATGTTTTTGTGTGGCGGCGTACGCGCCGTCTGGCATTGGATACACACGAGCTTCAACGTCACCTGACGTAGCGTTAGCATGAAAGTTTAAAAAAAAAAAAAAATAATGAAAATGACATATTTCTATGAATGACGTTATACAAAACCGCGATAAACATTTTTGGGGGGGTTCGACCCGACGCCAGACGATAATTTACAATATCTCGGAAATATTAGAAAGAATTCCACAAAATGCAGTTGACAAACGGTCAAAGAAAAGGAAGAAGACTGAGGAAGGTGAAGCAAGGGGGTCCCGGCCCAGTCCTTTTGAGAGAGCTTCCTGAGGATATCCGTGGCTTGAACCGCAAAGCAGCAAAAGGAAGCCTGCGGGAAGTGAGTGATGAGACCAGTCAAGGGAGGGGCGCTTATCCAGAACTCAGCTGGCTTGGCTACAGTTCACATTCGAGTCTACCAATCAGTGCGGTGATTTTAGCTTGATACCCTGTGCGATTTTCATAGCTAAAAAGTTGTCAGTGGACCAAAAACAACCGCGGCTATCGACGCCTTTCTGTCAGATGCAAGCGTTAAGGAATTTGTGGACTCATGAAAAGAATTCTGCCACTTTTAGGAATAACAACAACAACAACAACAAAAAGGCATCTTTGTTTAAAAGACCACATCAATACTGGCAGAATTTAAGGCAATTTACAATAATTAGATAACATAGCCATCCATTATAGCACAGATGTTAAACTCAAGGCCCGGGGGGCCAGTTTGGGCCCGCCATGTCATTTTATGTGGCCCGCTAAAGCAAATCGTGTGTGTCAACTTCCATGATGCTTGATAATCTGTACCGAATTGACAAATTGTCATGTGTAAGAAATAATGTTGAGATCTGGCTTCCCTGTTTACGCTCACTTGAACAATAATTGAACAAACGACAAACAAATAGTTGACAGATTTCAAAACTCGGAAGCCATAATTTTTTTTTTTCTGTGTGTGTACAAGTCATACGACGTAACTCCAAAGTGGCCCGCGACAAAAATGAATTTGACACCCTTGCAATAGAGGGGTTTACCATTCCGACTAGTACGATATTCACCTGGCAAAACAAAAAAAAAAAAACATTATCGAGTGACGACGCATCCACTAGACCAAACTACGTTGTGTTTACATGGGAGAAATCACATAAGGATAACCTTGTCTGGCACAGCCCAGGGACAATCAATATCCATGTCTCCAGAGCGTGATTATATTCTTGGGTTGACAAAGAAAAAAAAAAAAAAACACACTCACCTACAAGATACGTAATACCACATATCTCTATTCAAACAGAGGATCTCCTCCAGGCAAGAAGGGCTTTTCACAAGGCTTAGGCTGAAGAGATCTCTGACATCATAAACTGGATGAGAGGTTTTTTTTTGGGGGGTTTTTTTGCCTCCGAGGTACGAGCCAAGCAAAAATCTGATGACATTAGTGTTAGCCGTCCAGGTTGTTTGAGTGCAACAGACAGAAAAGTATCATCATTGACTTGTAAAGACGGTAAAATGCATCTTGGTTGACATCACACTTATGGATCTCGCATTCCAACAATCGTCTCGACCGCTCCACTGTAGGAACGTAAACATTTTTGCGCATTTTATAAACGAACAGATAAGAAATGCCGAGGGTTAAACAGTTAGCTGCGGGCCTTGGGGGCAGCTTAGAATTGAACGGTAGGTAAGGGGAAGAGCTTAGCAAGCATGAAGTCAGTTTTCGCAAACGATGGGGATGAACCAAAACTAAATATGTAAGCAACACTGCGATAAATGAGGTTAACACTTTTTCCTTTCTTTAATCCACAATGACAACATCCTGCTTTCAAATGTTTCCATCTCCAAAATGTTGAAACATGCTGCCACGTCGACACGGGTGTCTATTTTCAGTTTTTGCCCGCCAGCAAGATGTTTAAAGCTTGATCAAGACTGCCAAAAAAGATGCCAATTCGCATTTGATATTTGCAAAAACGTACAAAAAGGCTTGGTTGGCTCCTGTCGTGTTTGTGTGTGTGTGTGTGTGTGTGTGTGTGTGTGTGTGTGTGAGAGAGAGCTGGCAACAGACAGAAGAGGAAAAACGTCAAAAAAGACGAGCACATCCTTTGCCGACATGTGCCTCGGGAGTTATAAATCGGAATAAATTGGCTGGATGGGAGACAGGTCTCCCGCCCGGTGTCAAAGGGCAGTACAGCAACAACACCCACCGAGCCCCACTCCCACCCTCTTTCGCAACACAAACATTCACATTTTCAGAGCTAGACCAAAACAAATTAACACCTCGCCTTGACACA